AATCCGAATATTGGTTGTAAATTTTAAACGCACTATCTATGTATAATACGCTAAAATTAATTATCCGGTGAATAGGAAAAAAACATTTCGCTATATATTAATTGTAATGAAAATGACGAATAATTTGAAGAGTATCAGAAGTGGTTTTGTGAAGGTTGTATTAATTTCAACAGTTGAGATCATGAGTCAATTGAAGCTAGACAACCATGGAAAACGAAACGGCCATCCAGTGCTTCCACGTTTTCCATGGTGGTCTAGCTTCACGATCTCAAATGTTGAAAGTTTTAAGAGTGTAAACAATTTACATAATAATGAGTGTACTGTATGACTATCTTTCACGATCAGTATACTGATAACTTTATTTTGTTGAGTTTGTAGGATTATTTAAGGCGACCTAACACTCACAAATCTTTGAAACATTTAGAGAACATAATGAAGATCTAGAATAAAAAGGACAGAGACTAGTAAAGTACAATCATTGAATGTTAACAACAAGGAAGTCATTTATTGATAAGCAAACAACATTATAAAAAATATACTACATCAAACTAGGATTAACACTATGCTTACTAATTATAATGATGGCCGGAGAAATTTATATATCATACAAATTCAAGAAGTCATTTGTTCGTCTCATTCCGTGTTATAATCTCATTAATTTAGAATTTGTGAATCAGTTGTTGAAGTATAAAAGCTTTATGAAACCACTATAACTATTTCATAAAATAAATCTACAATAATGCTAATGATTTTTGTTATTGACCGGGTATTTTTGTTCCCTATCTATGATACCTGAATTAAATGTACCTATTCTACATTTTCTAAAATAAAACATAAAATTTCTGGAAATCATGTTGTTTTCAAAAGATAAGTAGATATTTAAGTAATGTTACCTCATTGAATTTGTCAGCTTATTTCATTATTGTATTTGCACATAATCTAGGTCACTTCTACATGAAACAGGAAGTTCCTCAGTCTAAATTAAGATTCATGATATTACTTTCATGAACTATTCGTTCTGTTATCAAGCCAATAGCATAGACTATTTGATTATTTTTACATTGTAGTTGAGATTCCCCTAAACAATAACATTTTTCAAAATATTATCCTTACTCAATCACAGACAGAGATTCTATCCATTGATATCATGTGGCTCAGAAATATATGGGATTCCGAAGGTAGCAATAATATTAGCTAATTAAGATTGACTCAGCAAAGAATTCTCTTTTCGAAGAATTCATTTTCAAAGCTGTACAATCGTAAAGATATATGCATATTTTCCAGGATCATAATAATTACAATAATAGTAATAATAGAATTCTGTTAAACATGGTAACAGTGAGGTAGAATAAACAAAGGTATTTAAAAAATATTATTTTTATCAGGGAAACAAACAACAGTTTTATAAGAACTTTCGTCTAAATTTGACCTAATAGTTTCACTGTATTTGGGCGTCAAGTTGATGTTGTTAAGGTCTTAAATATTCATCATGAAGATAAATAGAGAAGTTATAATTCAGAAAGGATGGCTAAACATAGTAAGATAAAATGTTTAAAGTGAGATGAAATATAAGCAGGTAGATCGTAGAAACAGAAATAAACCGGTTGAGGGTAGAAGGTCTATGGAGAAGATGGAACGGGAAGTAGATGGCTGTGAATGGAGAAAAGTATGAAGAAAAAAGAAAATTAGGAGTCATTAAGACAATGGTAGAAGAAGGGGTTGTACCAATTTCTTCTGAACACACAATTCTGGTTTTCCCAACTGTATATTAACTACTTCGGTAATGTGAAAAAGATGCAATAAAGCTGCCTTTGGCAGTCTTTTGCTTACCTTGTTGATGACTTTAGATACAGTAGCCGCTTTGATTGAGTGACATGTGTTGAAAAGGTGTTCGATAATTAAGCTTCCTATTGAGCAGTTTCCGCCTCATTTTAGCCACGCAAAGTAATCTTCTTGAATTCTTCTGGACAAATTACTCATCGAACGACCTATATACATGGCTACACGTGAGCAGGTTAATTGGTAAATGAACATGGAGTTGGTCAGATGAGATCACTTGTCCTTAAGATTATTATTGAACATCGAACAGCTGGAGAAAGCTATTCGCACTATTTGTAGAAAAGAACATTCTTTTTAAAGAATCGGAAATTCTCCACTGTAGGACGTCTTTAACTCTATCATCCATAAAATCGATGTTCATGTAAAGTGTTTTTTTTCAATCGAGGTTATTTGTGCATTAAACGGTTTAAATTTTATATTATTGTCAATAAATATCGAAGGATACCCGTTTTTGAAGATAGTTTCCTTTAAAAAACCCAGTTCGTCATCTATGACCTCAGGACAATGAATTCGCGTATTGAGTGAAATTATTAAGTTTTGCTTCCAACTAATGAGGACCTAGCTGTGGAAACTTGATGGTTGGCCGTTTCATAAAGGTTTCATTTAGATAGATCTTCATTGAGTTCCGTCGTGTACTTTTGTTATTTCCACACCAAGAAAGCGAATATTTTATTTGTTTTTAACTTCACGTGTGGAATTTATTGCTGGGTGACAGTTATTAGATGCCTTCAGAAGGGGACTCAAATCATATTTGTTGTTAAAAATGGTAAAAATATCATCCACGTACCTTCTATACAAGTCGGAGTTGTGGACAGTAGTTTTAAGTTGGCTGTTTTCTAAACCGTCCACGGAACAATCAGCTAATAATGGACCAAGAGGGAAGCCCAGTGCTATGTCATCTTCTTGCCTATGTATTACGTCGTTAAATGTTAATCATGCATTAAAAGTGCATCATAATCGTAGTTGCTTTAAATAAGCTTCCGCCATTCCGATATTCATGTCACTATTATTTATGTTTTTGCAGATAAAAGTGATAATGAGGAGAACATCAGTGAATAGTGATTCGACATCCAGAGATAGTACATTTTTGTCATTTACGTCTGGATTCAATGAATTCAAAAGTATCATGTAAGAAATATATGCAAACGTGTTTTCTTATGGATTCTAGGAGATCTGCCAGTCAATTTGCTGTAGAGTGGTAAGGGGACCCAGACATATCAGGCATTGGTCGGAGAGGTAGGCCAGGTTTGTGTATTTTAGGTAAACTATGTAGTCGTGGTATAATTGCTCCTGCTGATTTCATGCGCTCGTAGATATCTTTGTTAATTACCTGATCATCTTTCATTCTCTTGAGAACTTCATTCAGTTGCTTTTCGAACATTTTAGTTTAGTTCTTTTCATTGACTGATTCAGAGAATTTGTCGTCATCTGATGATAATAACTTTGTCATTTTGTCGAGATCGAGGTCAACAAGGCAAGCTCTGAGACATATGTTTCAGAAATTCAAGCATTTCACTTCTACTTGACGTTTGTGCTGAAGAACAATGAAAGCCCTAAGACCAAACCATCCATCTCAAAAAACAAAACTTCACCAAAATCTTCCGGTCTAACAGCAATAAACTTGAACCATTATGTGACCGTGTTATAATCAACTCTTATTTGTTTCTATGTAGTTTTAGTTTATTTCTATGCTCTCTAGTTAATTTCGTGCTAATATTCTAGTTGAAGCTGTTGAGATTGGTAGATTTGTAGCGTTGGAATTCTTGATCAGAGACTGGACTAAGATCCTTTGTTTGTTTAATTAATTTTTCAAATTAAACATATGTGTAAAGTTTGCTCATTTCTTCATTTTGTGTCACAGAAATTTTTCCTCAAAGATAAGGCTTCTGGTTGTACATTTCTTAATGATACTGAAGAATGATTAAACACATATCTCTCATGATTGATCGGAAATTAATGTTGTGTTTCTGTGGCTTTTAAATTTCAAAAATTATATATATATATATATATATATATATATATATATATATATATATATATATATATATATATATATATATATATATGCTATGTACAGCTTTAAAAATGAATTTACCGAGAAGAAACCACTTCGTTGAACCGATTTTTCTGATTTTATATCTCAATTGGTATTTACCGTTCATTATATGATATTATTTCTCGATTCATCTTACTTATAGCATTATAATCGGCTTAGTCGTAGAATTCTTATTAGGTTAATGAATTTAGGTCATTAATGAACATTAGACACTAACATGAACCTGCAGTCTGATGAACCGTATTTGTTAATAATCCATTCTAATTCATGTTCAATATTAATCCTATTAATTTTCAATTAATCATTTCAACTGTAACCGTAAACAATAAAGATTTGAAACTTAAATAACTTATGTTTTGTTTAATAGACAAACATATTGAATTATTCAATGTTCTAATAACTATTCCCTTAATATACCTTATGTAAAACATTCTACAACAATGATTGTGACAGCATTTCAAAGGGCTAGATACAAGTGATTACATAATGAGTAAACATTGATAGGTATATAGTGAGTAAAGCTCAGTTGATAAAATACGATTATAATTTGGATGAGAGTTGAAATAAAACTCAATGATGTAATAAACGCAAAAAAGAGTTTGAAGAAAAAGAAAAAAAATTTAAGATGCAGCGACGGAATATTTGTCACCAAGGCAAAGAATATTCCTTCGCTGCATCTTAAAATTTTTTTTCTTTTTCTGCAAACTCTTTTTTGTGTTTATTACATCATTGAGTTTTATTTCAACTCTCATCCAAATTAATAATCTTATTTTAACAACTGACCTCTACTCAGGATATACCTATCAATGTTTACTCATTATGTATTCCTTTAATATTTGATTCTTAATAATAATCATATTGCAAAAACATTTTATTTTATACTTTGAGAAAAAAATGCAATCAAAATTAAAATGTAAATTTTGATTAACATAATTCACTTGATATTGTTTGTTTAAATCTTCTCATAGATGTTTAGGAATGTCATTGATCAGTCTGTTATTGACATACTATATATACTATGCATACTGATCAACATAATTTTTGACATTTTGACACTAAGATCATGAAACTTTCTAAAGTCTAAGAAAAAATACTTTCAACTTACACTAAAGCAAAACAATCAAATGGCCATGAAATAGCAACTTTTCTTTCCATAGTTTGTTCTTTTTTTGATTTATTATTATTGTATTTTCTGACAAAAGTTGAAGAGAGAAATGAACTTTCAATGGACAATATTAATTTCCATGTTATGTGAATTGTATTCGTTAGAATTCTATTTAGGAAACAAAATTATTTAAAGATAATAATAACGATGATAATGAAATTTCGATGATGCAATGAGAAGACGAAGTTTGTTAGAATTATGTCATATATTTGTGCAATACATTTCGAACAATTCAATCACACAATATCCTTGTTAAGAACATTATTAAATGAAAATTAATAAAGGTCAACTAGACAGATTAAAGATAAGCCGTAACAAAGAAAACAATAATAAAGTACACAAAAATAATGTGATAATCATTCTGGATAATAAATCAGTATAACCAAGGTAGGATTAAGGGTAAGAAAAAAAATGTTTTTGAATTCATAAAAGAGGGTTTCAGTTTTCGTATAGCCAATGCTTCAATAAATCTAAGCATTATCGAAATTTATCAAAGGGACTAATTGTTTTAAATAATGAAATTCACAGTTTAATAATAATTTAACAGGACAAACTGATACAGATTTTTATTATCAGAATTGGTTTTGTGGGTTCGAATCTCGCGGTGAGGGGCGGGATCGTGAATGCGCACTGCCATGTAGGAGTCCCATACTAGGACGAAACGGTCATCCAGTGCTTCCAGGTTTTCCATGGTGGGCTAGCTTTAATTGACTCTTGATTTCAACCAGTGATACAGATTTATAATGTTTAAAAGAATAATTAATTTTTGAGTATTTTATTAAAATAAAATCTTTACCTAAAATTCATTCAATAAATAGCATGAATATTAGGATCTTTTTTTGAATAATCTTTAAAAATCCACCAATTCACGACATTTCATTTTCAAAATTAGCGATTTATCATTTGAATTGATTAATTAATTTGATTGAAAATTAATAATGATTAGCACAGTTTCTGACATAAAAAAATTTATCACAGATTGTCATCCGTCTAGAAAGCTTCTAAAAATTAATAAATCCTTGACAATTATATCATTCTGAATAGAAGGTTCTAAAAAGTAGAGAACCACATTTTTATTAAGAATCAAAATTTATGATATTTAGGCTGTGATCTACAAAAATAGAATGATCACAAGTTTTTAGTACTCCAGTTGATTGAATGAAATTCTCTCTAAATTAAACTTTATTTTATTTAACAACCGGATAAATTATTTCAGTACATGAAAGGACTTATTCATAAAGCTTTATATTGTAGATGGACTATCATAAAAATATATAATTTTACAATTAAAAGTATAACTGTAAACGTTTTCCATATTTAAAAAAGAATCTGTAGAATTCACCATGGATGGTAAAATATTACAATATAAAATTTGTGATAAAATATTAGGAATACTTGTAGTGGCTGTGCTTCGTTAACCGATCACCCTCGTAACCGTTATCATATAATCCTCAACGGTGTTTGAAATCAGAAGGCAAAGAGAAGCAGCGACTACAGTTTCGTTAGCAGATAAATCAGGCCACAGAGCAGAGAGGCAAATGAATGAGTCAGTGAACCGAGAGTGTAGAGAGTGTGTAGAGTGTAAATGTACATGTATATATTACTATTATTATTATTATTATTATTATTATTATTATTATCAGCTTTATTCAATATTATATTTTTGGCACAATATAGAACTCTCAGCGCAAAGTATTTCAACAAGTTTCCGTTTCTTTCTTCTTGGTCGGTCGAATGATCGCCAGTTAGATGTTAGCAGTTCACTAAATGAACATCTGAATAATGTGCATTCTTTTCGTTGTATATTGACAGCAACCACATTGTCTCTTATTGAGTTTTTTGTAACTTTGACAACGAAAGGTTGTACACCTTTCAGAAACGCAGCAGCATAGATTATGCGATTAATAAACATAATGATATATTAAAACAAAGAAAAATGGATAACTTGTTGAAATATCTAGATGGCAGGAACAGGTAGCCCAGATGCTCAAGCAGGCCGCCCTTTAGATATGAAATAAATCGATTATCGAATTAATCAGGCAGCTAATAATAGAGCTAGCAGAATGAATATAGGCGTAGGCGGTAAGCTACGTCCAAGCGTACATACTTCATACAAGCGCAACAATAATAAAGGCACAATAAGTTGTTACAGTACGGATGACTTTGTCCGCTAAATAAGTTAACAAAAGGGTTTAACTGAGTTAAATGAGAAAAAACTCAATTACACGTGACTTGCTATATACTTTAAAGATATTTTTGAATTTACAATATTTAATAAAACAAAGAATAAACCGAAGGATTATAAAGGAAAATAAGATTTCAATGTATTTTGTTGTTTTTATTAAGTTTAACTACATAGTAAGGAGTTTATACTTGTAACATTGACATAATTCGAATGAAATTAGAAAATACAACTGTAAGATAGAACATGATAGATTTGTCATAAAGCAAATTATGACAGAAATTATGAGCGTCTGTTTATATATTTCCGTTGCTGCAACATTTTATCGGATTAGTACTGAAATCATGGACGTATACTGAATCTTATTGGTAACTCACCAGATAGGTATATCTGGATCAAAGTATTAATTTTCACATCGACACTCAAACCTAATACTATTATACTATAAACGCACAACATACTATCTACTGGACTTACGAATTCAGATAGCCAATAACTTGCTAGAAAAGGTATGAACGTTTTAATAAGTAAAACAGGAAATTTCAATAGTTGAGATCATGAGTCAATTGAAGCTTGACAACCATGAAAAACCATGGAAGCTCAGTGGTCTAGTGGTAAAGCACCCGCACGCGAGACTGATAGATCCTAGGTTCAAATCCCGCGAAGCGGGGTCGAGGATGCGCACTGCTGAGAAGTCCCATACTTTGATGGAACGGCCGTCTAGCGCTTCCAGAATTTCCATAGTGTTCTAGCTACAATTCACTCATGATCTCGACTATTCAAATTACTACAATCTCCAGAAAATCCCTTCTGATACTAAAACAGGAACTCAAAAAATTCGTTCACAGATTATACCACAGTTAGTAACTAATTAATCTTTTTTTTATCCAATAAACTAAAAGCACCGAAAGAATGAACAGAACTTCTGGGTAAATAGACATGTGATATTTGTCTGAGAATAAACATCATATGTGAAAAAAATTCAAAGTCAACCAGATAAATTAAAAGGTAAGGAGAAATAGAAATAATAAAATACACAAAATTGAAACTACTATGGATAATAAATCTGTATCACCAGAGTAGGTAAGTAGTAAAAACGAATTGTTTTTGAACACATAAAGTGAGTTTCAGTATTCTTACGACCCAGGCTTCAATAAACTGTAGTATAAGCCCTTGCAAACTTTTCTAAGAAACTACAAGGGTTAACTTGATATTAACCTTATAACCGACCTCATCAAAATGTTTCTCAATGGAGAAAGATATTTGTCCATCCTGTGATGTTATTCAACCATTGGAGTTCATCTGTTCTTGTATCCATTTAGGTATTTGTTCAGCCACAGTTGTATTGAAATACAAGGTTTATTGTTTAAAAACCTATTATAACCGAAAATTTATTTTAACATAATGATATTGACAAAACAAATGAAAAAAATTTTTTTATGTTGAATCAAAGTTAGTTTTTCAGCCTTTTTGATATTTTTCAAGTAATGACATTTGGTCATAAAACATTAATTAAAATATACCTAGAAGACAATAAATGTTATTCTACTGTTGAAAAAGTAATCCATTCTAAAGATAAACCTGCGTTTATGACGCAATATTGTAAAATATCCAGAAACATGATTGCCATTCAAAGTGAGTGGTAGGCTTTCAGTAACTGATGTGTCGTAGATGAGAAATAAAGTCACATTTATTTATGATAAATTCAACAGCAGAAGCGGTTAGCTGTAGTAAACTCATTCATGGTAAGTACAAATTCTTTAAGTCTGCCGAATTCTGAATTATTCAACGTAAGATGGACCTCCACATGTATGTGATTCGCTTCTCGATTAGTTACATTTTAACGTGGTGACTACAGGAAACGTTTATTCAATTTTAATAGAAATACATATTTGCTTGAAGTTAATCGAAAAAATGGGGTGCTCCACCCAAATTTTGTCATAAATTAACAATACTTGTTTTTCATACATGTTAGTGCAATAAACTAAAATATTTCCGTACTTAGATGACTATATTGCAATTCAAGGGTATTCGATAATGTAGTTATCTATATCGTAAAACTCTGACAGGATATTCACAAATAACGCTTATCAGATGTTATCAAAACCAATCTTTCATTGCATATAACCATTTCACACTATCACAGTTTCCTTACTGGAATCATGAAGTTTATTGATTTGCAATAGTCTTTAAAACAGTCAGTCATCTCTTTCTTTTCATCCAAAATATTTATTCATAAAGTCAGTCGATTAACAGAGCTTTATTAAAAATAAATAAATATTGGAAAAATTGTTTAGTAATATAACACTGTTATAAAACGGATGAAGAATTGGATTCATTTAATCTGTTATTTTGATTGGTTGTGATAAATCACTAGTATAATACTTATATATTGATTCTATACAACGAATTATTGATTAGTCAATAGTGAGTACTATTGAGTTAAATCAATGCTAATTAAATAAGTAGGTATAAACTTAATTTATTCAAGATACAATTTTCAATCTATTCTTAGCGTCAAAATAAATCTACAGTTACTAATCTTTTTCTTCTTCGCTCATTTCGTATCAATCAGATCATATCATTGATCAGTGTTAAGACAGTCATGTAAAAAATATTGAAGAGATTTTCCAAAATCAGTTGGTTAATACTTTCCTCCGCTGATTTTTGGAATGGTACGATTCTATTTCGTTTTTTATAATTTACTTACTGATACATTAACTATATTATTTTTATGATGTTAGATTATAAAACTCCATACATCACTGTTAAGTATACGGGTGTATAAGATCCTTATATAAAATGATTATCATAACAAGAATAGTAACATTCATAAATACAAATGACAAACTAATTTTTTAATAGTAATTTCAATAGTTGAGATTATGGACCAATTAAAGCTGAACCATCATGGAAAACCTGGAAGC